GCCTAAAGGCTATTCTACTCTGCGTTTTAAACGCTTCTATATTAAGCTTGGATTAGGCTATTGCAGTTCTTAAACAAAGACAATCCACAATAATCAGCTCTCTTGGCATGTAAAATATAGTCTTGTGTGATGCTAAGTTGGTAACTGGTAGCTGGTTTTGATCTGGTGCTCTAGACATGTTGAGGCTGGTGTGTGTGATCTGGGCCGGTCTCACTCCCACCACCGTAAGGCTTTGACTTCTCATGGGGTCAGGAGGAGAGAGACAGTGAGGAGGGAAAGTTGACTTCTCATGGGGTCAGGAGGAGAGAGACAGTGAGGAGGGAAAGTTGACTTCTCATGGTGTCAGGAGGAGAGAGACAGTGAGGAGGGAAAGTTGACTTCTCATGGTGTCAGGAGGAGAGAGACAGTGAGGAGGGAAAGTTGTCTTCTCATGGTGTCAGGAGGAGAGAGACAGTGAGGAGGGGAGGTAATAAATAGCCAACATATGGCCACAGATCCCTCCCCCCCCTCCCTCCCTCCCTCCCTCCCTCCCTCCCTCCCTCCCTCCCTCCCTCCCTCCCTCCCTCCCTCCCTCCCTTCCTTCCTCTCCCCTTCTCCCTCTCCAGCCTTGATATAGAATTCCCCCTCTCTCTCATGCACTCTCGCACACACTGACAGGCACACACTCATCCTCTCACGAGACAACTCTTCACTACAACCCGTTGAAATGATTTGAAAATGCGTTGTTGCTTCCTCGGTCATCTCCCTTCCATCCTTGAGCTGATCACTGATCTGACAATGACTGGACTGAGTTACTGCGCCTGGTTCTCTCTCGCTCTCGCTCTACTCTCTCTCGTTTAACACAATGCTAGCTAGCTAGCGTGCTAACGACAGGAGGGACCAACAGGGTCAAAATGATTAACAACACAGCTTTGTTAGTGCAGGGATGGAGCAAACCTCCCCACTGTTTGCTTTGAAGAGCACGTGTCAATTTTGGCAGTTTGGCTCGGGGCCCATTGTCTCTGTCAGCCTGCCTATATAATGTATTAGACATTGTGGTCCTCTGTAGCTCAATTGGTAGAGCATGGCGCTTGTAACGCCAGGGTAGTGGGTTCGATCCCCGGGACCACCCATACGTAAAAATGTATGCACACATGACTGTAAGTCGCTTTGGATAAAAGCGTCTGCTAAATGGCATATTATTATATTATATTATATTGAACTTAAACAATGGCTGTAGCCTGAGCAAGTAGCTAAGTTGCTCAAGGTGAGGCAGATTAGCCCTGGTTTTAACACATTTTAATATTTGAATAAAGTCATGGAGAACGTGTCATCCGCCCACTCTAGAACAAGTGATTTGTCACCAGCGTTACGTCCACACACAGGTGTCCTCTCTAGCTGACCTTGTCAGGTGACTGATGCTGTTGCCAGATTGGTGGCTGACTGACTGTGTGTGTGTGGGGAAGGGGAAGATGGTGGTGGCGGCGGTTGCCATATTTAGGTCAACGTCTTTGGTTGCTGCAAGTTGATTGATTGAGAGTACTTTCACATAGGGCTTGAAACCTAAAATAAATTGCTACAGTTTCCAATAATCAAAGGGAAGAATTGATTGCATAGCCTAATACTTATATTAGTCAATCCAACTTCATGAACTGAGCTTGCTATATGAGGAATATAAAAGATAAATATAAAAGAACACCTTGTAATTGAACACGACAATAAAGTGTTGCAGATAAAGTTTATCAACCGATACAGATGTTTACAGATTCAGGTTAAACCGAGTGGCAGAGGTTGGCAGAGGTTGGCAGAGAAGAGGTAAAGAAGAAAAGGAGAGGGAGTGTGAGAGATGATGGAGGGAAGAGGGAAGGGCCCAGACAGACAGACAGACAAAACAAGATGGAGAGAGAGGGGCAGAGCAAATGGAGGTGGGATGAGTCTACGAGAGGAAGGGAGTGCGAGAGGGCCCAAGGATCGACGAGTGGAGAGAAGAGGAGAAGCATTCTTGTTTGCCGCTCTTTGGCACAGTGTGGCGACTTTTCCATCTCTGTGTGTTACTGCCCCTCTCTCTCTCACACACACACACACAAGTTGCTTCTCTCCTGACTCCCACATTGTGACCTCCCCTGCTCTTTTTTTTTTTACAAGGATGTGCAAGAATGTTAGGATGTCAGGGCCATGCAGCACGGTGTGTGTGTGTGTGTAGGATGGGGGGGATATGGAGGAGGGAGTTGGTGGGTGTCAAAGCCGGAGTGAGAGTGATGGCTGGGAACAGATGTAGTAACAGCAGCCATTGCTGCCCCCCTTCCCCCGTCCCCTCCACACACACACACACACACGCACACACACACACGCCTCTCCTGTAACACGCACCACTCTCTCCGTGAGCGTGTGTTGGAATCTCCAAACAAGTGAAACACTCTCCTCCAGTCGCCTGCTCTGAAACATCACAACAGAAATCTGGAAACCTAGCCCGACCATTGTGCAATCTCTCTCTCTCTCTCTCTCTCTTCCTCTACTCTCTCTCTCTCTCTCTTCCTCTACTCTCTCCCTCAGCCTCTTTTCATTTCTCCAACTGCCATCACTATGCCTCGGTATCTCTTCCCTTCTCTTCATCCTCTATCTTCTCCCCCTCTACTTCCTCCATCTATTCAACCCTCCCCTCCTCTCCTTCTTCTCTGTTCCCACCATCTGTTGCAGTTCATTTTAGCAGGCCATAAAAAGCGCTGCCCAAGCGTTTGATCCACCAATCAGAGTACGGGATGGAGGGGGGTGATGCTCGGCTAATGAAATAAAACAAATCCACGGCTAAGCTTGAGATCTGTGGTTAGCAAGTTCTCAACCTCCCCCCGACACACACACACACACACACACACACACACACACACACACACACACACACACACACACACACACACACACACACACACACACACACACACACACACACACACACACACACACACACACACACACACACACACACACACACCCTTGGCCAACACCCACTATTCGACATGACCACACTACTTAGTCTGTGCTTTGTATTACTAGTTAGCGCTGCTACTCCATTAGCTACGGAAGGTTATTTACTCCACAATGCTATTTGTAGTCCAGTAGCTTTCATTCATTTTTGCATGATGCAATAATGTATTTAGAAATGGCTCAGTAAGACTGTGCATGGTGCTACTTGCAACACCAGGGAGGGTTGTGGTTTTTATATCCTGCATGACAAATCTTTGTCAATGGAAAAAAGCTAAATATGTTGTACATAGGATGCAGTAACAGAAAGACATGGAGTGAAACGCACGCACACACCCCTCCCACCCTGACAGAGAGGTCCGTGACACAGCACCTGCTTAGTCCATGTTACCATCTGTAATGTCACTTCACTGCTCCCTCCCGGGGCTCACTAGAAAAAACACAACCAGCCGTTACCAGTCTGTTCAAGCTCACCTCTCTCTCACCCACTCTTTCCCCCTCTCCTCTCCTGCTTTTGCCCTCCTTCTCCATCTCATCTCATATTTGTCTATCTCTTCTCAGACCCTTTTTCCCTTTCCTTTTCTCTCTGTTCTCTCATCTATTTTTCTCTCCATCATCTCAACTCCTGTCCTCCATCCCTTTCTTTCCCACTCCCTTTTTCATTCACTTTGGTTTTCTGAGTGACTCACACTAAACCGATGTAGAGGAATGAGGCATGTAGAGACTAGATCACAAACTCCACCCCTCCATGAGGAGGAGGAAGTGGCCTGGACCGGAGAGGAGCTTCCTGTGGGGCTGTGAACGGGAAGCCACAATTAACAGGAGGGGGGAGGAGGGGGGGTTGTACAGAAAGTAAAAATCAGTCCAGCATGGAGTTGGAGAGATTAGCTCCCCAAACCCTCCCATTGGGGACTGGGCGCTCCAAGCAACAGGGTGTGGAGAGAGGGTGGGGAAACCAAGGGATTGAACCTGTGTGTATTTGGGTGGGTGGGTAGCAGTGGGAGGATGACTCATAATAATGGCTGGAAAGGAGCTAATGGACCCTTGTGTTTGATGTAATTGATACCGTTCCACCTATTCCACTCCAGCCATTACCACGAGCCTGTCCTCCCCAATTAAGGTGCCACCAACCTCCTGTGGTGGGTTGTGGTGTGGGGGGCCTATGGGGTTACTTGAATCCATGGACCATAGATAGTATTGGTGGCCTGCTGTGATTGGTTTGTTACTAGAGAGAAGTCCTTTTGCTATGCTGAGGATGAAAGAAATACGGGAGTATCTATCTCCCTCCCTCCCTCCCTCCCTCCCTCCCTCCCTCCCTCCCTCCCTCCCTCCCTCTCTTGTCTCACATGAAACAGGTGTGAGTGTGACAAAACACAGGCTATGGTATCCTAGCTAGTGACATCAACTATTTTCCACAGGGCACCGAGTCAGTATTCTCTCTCTCTCCCAATCACAAGGTCACCCTACACCTCTACCTCTTCCTCCACCACCTCCTCCCTGCGTAAACCTCAACCCCCACTCAACCCCTCTAAACCCTCCTGCCACTCCATAAGCCACCCTATGCTCAAGTGCACACTGTGAAGTGCACTGCATACTCACTTAATTTACCATCTTCTGACTCCTGCTCTTGATCACATATGAACATCTAATGTATGTGGCATCAGTGTCTTTATTTTTGTGGCAGGGGAAAATGCTAATAGCTAGCTAAAGCCTTCTTAGCTTGTGTGTATGTCCCATGTCACTAAGTTTGTGTATATGTTTGTGTTGTTGCAGTGATGGAGAGCGCCACAGAGGACAAGCGTCCGGGGGGAGGAGTGAGCGCCGAGCTGAGCGCTGGAGAGACCCCCGACTCCACACACACACAGGACAAACACACAGGTCAGGGTGGTGTGTGTGTCTGTGTGTCCATATCTGACTGTTCTTATGTGTGTGTTGCACAGCTGGTGTGTGTGTGTTAGCTTCTGTGTGTGTGTGTGTGTGTGTGTGTTAGTTTGCGTATGCTAACGGCGGTTTCCTCGCTCTTTCCAGCGAGTAACGGAGCGATGGAGGAGGAGGAAGACGCTGCGGTAGAAAATGGAGAGAATATGACAGAGGAGGGGGGCGTGGACTTGTCGTCCATCAACACCATGATGTCGACGGTGATGAGCGCAGGCCAGCTCAACGGAGCCCTGGAGCCCTCCTCAGCCCCCGCTTCCACACCCTCCACCCCCATCGGCAAGACCACCCCACCCAGACCCCCTAGTGTCAACCGCAACGCCCGGAGGAACACGACGGTACACACACACATACACACACACACACACACACAAAATGAACAGGGAGGAGACTGAGTCAGTGTAGCATCACATTTGAAGTGTGAACTGGTTGAAAACAGTACAGTAAGACCTGATGTTTTTGACCAGGCTCCAACAGTGATGTACATTGGTGTGTGTGTGAGTTTTCAAACGAGTAGCGACAAATGGTCCCTAACTCTCCTTGCCTCTCAATTCCCCTTTTGTCTTCCCGGGCCTGGGTCACATGGCTCCTATTAAAGCCTGGGATTGGGGCCCCTAGCGCTCGGGTGTAGGACAAACAGGTGTCAGTTATTAAACACACACACACACAGACAGCCTGGAACAAGAGCCATCCAGAACCAGAGCTTTAGACCCACCTACCACTGTCATGCATAGTGTACTTCATTTCCATATAGCAGGAGTGGCCTGATTCTCAGACTCTCGCCTCTTGAGGAAACTGGTTTACAGACTATTATGTAATTCACCAGATTATGTCAGCTCTAGCATAGGCTGCACACAGCTGTAGGGTCAACGCTTGCTAGCGGGTGAAGAGGTTTTCCACTAGTGGGCAGCTTGCAGAGTTCACACTGGGCTGTGGTTTAGAAAGAGTAGCAGAGAAAAGGAAATGGTGTCTAAACTTTGTCTGTCTGCCTGGCTGAGCTTTTCCCTTCTAAAGACAAGCAGCTGTTATGTATCTTTTGCTGCAAGCCTAAACCTCCATCTAGCTTTAACTGCATTTGAAAGGCATTGGTAGATATAGCCAAAGCAGAACTATATGAAAGAGCAGAAGGAATGAAACAGAAACTCCCAGGCTCCCTCTCTCTCGCTGTTTGTCCTGCAGTCTACACACACACACACACACACACACACACACACACACACACACACTCGCAGGAGAATGAATGAATGATGAAGGATGTTTCTTGACCTCTGTTGCCACACACTATACAGTGGAGTTGAGCTCCAGACCACTTGAGTGTGTGGAGAGAAAACGTCTGTAATGCACTGGATGCCAGCGAGATGTTGGACTGCGAAACAGACTTGAGTCGAAGCCAGCAGTGCACAGGATTTAAACAATTCCTTTGCTAGGCCTCTCCAAGAGAGGAAAAGGAAGTGCTTCCTAGAGATTGTTTTTGAAGATTGTGTGTGTGGGCGATCCGTGGCACTGTAGTGTTCAGTCAGTCAGAGTTCATGATCAGCTGTAGTGTCAACAGAAAAAGAGGTGGGAGGGAGAGAGAGGAAGGTGGGACCTGGGGTGTAGGGTTACACTGAGCTCAACGTGAAACATCCCCCTCACGATGCTCCACACACACACACACACACACACACACACACACACACACACACCAAGCAATGGGTAACAGAGCAGGGCTACAGGCGAATGAGTGACATGGTCACTCAAATCAAATCCAAATCCCAACCTCTCTGGGACTAGCAGGTGCACTTTGACCTTAGGTCAATGGAGGGATAGAAAGTATGCAGACATCAGGCATCAGACATCAGGCATCAGGCATCAGGCATCAGACATCAGACATCAGCATTCTGCTCTTTATTATCTAAAGAATATAAGTGATGACATTGCTGTATATCACTCCAGTATTGCAGAAGGCTAGGATAGCAGACCCTGTGGGATTTTCCCCATGGTGAATGAAGTCAACATCAGTGCTTCAGGCCCCACCAACCACAAGTCCATCCATCTATAGCATAGTAGTGAAAGCCAAGAGGATGACCAATTCTTTTTGCGGTAGAGCCAACCCCAATGATCAAATCTGAACCATTTCCACATAGAAGTTGTATTTTGTCTTTATACACATTTTATGTGTCTATTTTAACTTTCCAATATAAAATTGATCCGCAGTGGAAAGTTCTCTTCTTACCTCTCAACGGACTGAATCCAAACACGCATAACTCAAATCTTCCATTGACATTACTGCGAGATGTGTGCAAAAGTTTGTTACTATAGGTTTGTTAGATTAATTTGGATTTTAAGAATAATGACTAAAGAATTTCACCCCAAACACAGTATAAATGTTAGAATTATCATGTAGTGTCAACCCACTAACAGAGGGGGCGTTACTAACCATTCAAGGGGGAAGGCGGGAACTGTTTAAGAAAGCCACCTAAAGGTGGGAGGAGCATAGTGCCTTTGTTTGTCAAGGGGTATAAAAACAGTATGTTTGTGTTTTTGGCCCCAGAGCTCTCGCCATGAATAAAAATACAGATAAGACTTGTGAGTTGTGGACCTTGAATCATTGATGATTAAAACCAGAGCCTTACAACCTCTGGTAATGATTCAAGCTTAGGGTGAATTAGAGAGAAAAATTCACATGACAAGGTTTCACTTGTTAGGATTGGACCCTACAGTATACTCCCATCTCACCTCTCATTTCTCTAACCTGTGGTCTCCTCCTGTGTGTGACTGGATTGGACCCTACAGTATACTCCCATCTCACCTCTCATTTCTCTAACCTGTGGTCTCCTCCTGTGTGTGACTGGATTGGACCCTACAGTATACTCCCATCTCACCTCTCATTTCTCTAACCTGTGGTCTCCTCCTGTGTGTGACTGGATTGGACCCTACAGTATACTCCCATCTCACCTCTCATTTCTCTAACCTGTGGTCTCCTCCTGTGTGTGACTGGATTGGACCCTACAGTATACTCCCATCTCACCTCTCATTTCTCTAACCTGTGGTCTCCTCCTGTGTGTGACTGGATTGGACCCTACAGTATACTCCCATCTCACCTCTCATTTCTCTAACCTGTGGTCTCCTCCTGTGTGTGACTGGATTGGACCCTACAGTATACTCCCATCTCACCTCTCATTTCTCTAACCTGTGGTCTCCTCCTGTGTGTGACTGGATTGGACCCTACAGTATACTCCCATCTCACCTCTCATTTCTCTAACCTGTGGTCTCCTCCTGTGTGTGACTGGATTGGACCCTACAGTATACTCCCATCTCACCTCTCATTTCTCTAACCTGTGGTCTCCTCCTGTGTGTGACTGGATTGGACCCTACAGTATACTCCCATCTCACCTCTCATTTCTCTAACCTGTGGTCTCCTCCTGTGTGTGACTGGATTGGACCCTACAGTATACTCCCATCTCACCTCTCATTTCTCTAACCTGTGGTCTCCTCCTGTGTGTGACTGGATTGGACCCTACAGTATACTCCCATCTCACCTCTCATTTCTCTAACCTGTGGTCTCCTCCTGTGTGTGACTGGATTGGACCCTACAGTATACTCCCATCTCACCTCTCATTTCTCTAACCTGTGGTCTCCTCCTGTGTGTGACTGGATTGGACCCTACAGTATACTCCCATCTCACCTCTCTCATTTCTCTAACCTGTGGTCTCCTCCTGTGTGTGACTGGATTGGACCCTACAGTATACTCCCATCTCACCTCTCATTTCTCTAACCTGTGGTCTCCTCCTGTGTGTGACTGGATTGGACCCTACAGTATACTCCCATCTCACCTCTCATTTCTCTAACCTGTGGTCTCCTCCTGTGTGTGACTGGATTGGACCCTACAGTATACTCCCATCTCACCTCTCATTTCTCTAACCTGTGGTCTCCTCCTGTGTGTGACTGGATTGGACCCTACAGTATACTCCCATCTCACCTCTCATTTCTCTAACCTGTGGTCTCCTCCTGTGTGTGACTGGATTGGACCCTACAGTATACTCCCATCTCACCTCTCATTTCTCTAACCTGTGGTCTCCTCCTGTGTGTGACTGGATTGGACCCTACAGTATACTCCCATCTCACCTCTCATTTCTCTAACCTGTGGTCTCCTCCTGTGTGTGACTGGATTGGACCCTACAGTATACTCCCATCTCACCTCTCATTTCTCTAACCTGTGGTCTCCTCCTGTGTGTGACTGGATTGGACCCTACAGTATACTCCCATCTCACCTCTCATTTCTCTAACCTGTGGTCTCCTCCTGTGTGTGACTGGATTGGACCCTACAGTATACTCCCATCTCACCTCTCATTTCTCTAACCTGTGGTCTCCTCCTGTGTGTGACTGGATTGGACCCTACAGTATACTCCCATCTCACCTCTCATTTCTCTAACCTGTGGTCTCCTCCTGTGTGTGACTGGATTGGACCCTACAGTATACTCCCATCTCACCTCTCATTTCTCTAACCTGTGGTCTCCTCCTGTGTGTGACTGGATTGGACCCTACAGTATACTCCCATCTCACCTCTCATTTCTCTAACCTGTGGTCTCCTCCTGTGTGTGACTGGATTGGACCCTACAGTATACTCCCATCTCACCTCTCATTTCTCTAACCTGTGGTCTCCTCCTGTGTGTGACTGGATTGGACCCTACAGTATACTCCCATCTCACCTCTCATTTCTCTAACCTGTGGTCTCCTCCTGTGTGTGACTGGATTGGACCCTACAGTATACTCCCATCTCACCTCTCATTTCTCTAACCTGTGGTCTCCTCCTGTGTGTGACTGGATTGGACCCTACAGTATACTCCCATCTCACCTCTCATTTCTCTAACCTGTGGTCTCCTCCTGTGTGTGACTGGATTGGACCCTACAGTATACTCCCATCTCACCTCTCATTTCTCTAACCTGTGGTCTCCTCCTGTGTGTGACTGGATTGGACCCTACAGTATACTCCCATCTCACCTCTCATTTCTCTAACCTGTGGTCTCCTCCTGTGTGTGACTGGATTGGACCCTACAGTATACTCCCATCTCACCTCTCATTTCTCTAACCTGTGGTCTCCTCCTGTGTGTGACTGGATTGGACCCTACAGTATACTCCCATCTCACCTCTCATTTCTCTAACCTGTGGTCTCCTCCTGTGTGTGACTGGATTGGACCCTACAGTATACTCCCATCTCACCTCTCATTTCTCTAACCTGTGGTCTCCTCCTGTGTGTGACTGGATTGGACCCTACAGTATACTCCCATCTCACCTCTCATTTCTCTAACCTGTGGTCTCCTCCTGTGTGTGACTGGATTGGACCCTACAGTATACTCCCATCTCACCTCTCATTTCTCTAACCTGTGGTCTCCTCCTGTGTGTGACTGGATTGGACCCTACAGTATACTCCCATCTCACCTCTCTCATTTTTCTAACCTGTGGTCTCCTCCTGTGTGTGACTGGATTGGACCCTACAGTATACTCCCATCTCACCTCTCTCATTTTTCTAACCTGTGGTCTCCTCCTGTGTGTGACTGCGTTACAGGAAGCCAAAGACATCAATACAGATTTCATCTGTCCCCTGTGTGACAAGGACTGTATGACCCAGCACCAGCTCACTATGCACATCCGACAGGTAACACTACTATTCACAAGTACACATAAAGTAATGGAAGTAATAACCATAACATGTAGTAATAATAATCTCTCTTTCTCTCTCTCTCAGCACAACTCGGACAACGGGGCGACGGACCACTCATGCAGCATCTGTGGCAAGGCCCTGAGCTC